AATCTTTATTTAAAATAAATAAATAAATAAGAAATTAAAAAATGAAATATACGTGTGGAGAACAGATGTTCACCAGAGCGATATGCCTTGACAGTCATCAGTGTGGATAGATGGTATTTAAAGACATGAGACTGTATGATGTCACCAAGGGAATGAGTGTAGGTAAAGATGTGAACAGGTACAAAGACTGGGCCCAAGGATGCTGCAGTGTGTAGAAGTTGGAGATATGAGGAGAAACTGGCTAAGAAAACTGAAAAGAAGCTGCCAGTAATATGGCAGGAAAATCAGGAGAGCATGGCGTCTGGAAACCAAAAGAAGAAAGCGTTTCAAGGAAAGGGGAATGATTGACTATGTCAAATACTGCTGAGAAGCTAAGTGAGGGCTGAGGACAGACCACCGCAGTTAGCAACGTGGAGATCACCAGCGATCTTCCCAAGAAGGATTCTCTCATTATTACTTTCCTGCTTTTCTCTTTAGTCATACATTTGATAACTGGGTCTATGGAAAATAGTAGTAAACTAGGAACATTCTTAGTTTGATAACGAACATCAACAAAGAACCTACAACTAACATCCTACTTAATGGTGAGAAACTTGAAGTTTTCCCACTAAAATTAAAAAATAAGGCCAAGAAGTCCTCTCTCACCACTGTTTTTAACATCATCCTGGAAGTCCTAGCTAATGCATAAGACAAAAGAAAATAAATGCTGTAGAGATTGGAAAGGAAGAAAATAGTAAAAACCCGAGCTGGATAGCTCAGGTCAAAAGCACACACCCCCTTCCAAGCATCCCACAGGATCCCAAGCAGCCAGTCAAGTACAAGTTCCACCAGGCATGGGACAAATAGGATGAACCATGTCACATGCTAGAATAGAAAACACTTGTCTCTGGGTCCTGAAATATCTGCAATATTGGTAACAATGATAATATCCAGTTGCTTAGAACTTTTCCTTCTCTATCCAGATGCTTATTGCTTTGTCTCCCATCCAAGTACTAACCAGGCCCAACCCTGCTTAGCTTCCAAGATAGATGCATTCAGGGTGGTATAACCATAGACCAGATGCTCATTGCTTTGTGTCTCTCTATCCTAACCAAAGATTCATCAGTAACACAGGAAACCTGCACACAAGCCTATAGATCAGCCCTAATGTGTGTTTTAGGGGTTCAAAATCATGTGGTTAACTTTCCACACAGGTACATGATCAAACCATTGGCATGCTTTGGCCTCAAATTACGCCACAAAAATATTGACCAGTGGATAAGATAAATCTTCCCCCAGCATAGAGACTGTCTTTTATCTCTGTACCATCAGCACCAAGCACACTGTCTGAGACGGAGTAGGCAACTGATAATTGTGGAAAGAAGTAATGAATTCATGAATTAATCTCTTCTGAGTGTCTCAAATCAGACATGCTTCTATACTAACCCAAATGAGCTTTACCGAAGATTCAACTCTTATGTAAGCAGCCAAACCAGAGCATGGAAGACTGATAAGACAGTACAAAAGGGTTTTGGACTACTTAATCCATCTACAGAGATGCAACAAACCATATTCTCACCACATTATTTCTTACTCAGAGCTGTGCAGACCCTGTCTCTTCTGCATACCCCCTTACACCCCCACCTATTTAGGGGGTTATATCTGTATGGATGCACCTCTTTTGAGCCTCTTGCTGGAGGTGTTACCATCCTAACTTTCTGGTGGTTAGCCACACACTTGCAGTGAAAAAGTCTATTGGATTTATGACCAAAGCAAATTTATGTCCCCATAATGGCAATTGTGGTGGACTTGTGGGAAAAAAATAGGACCATAATGTTTATGTGTTTTTAATGTTTATAGATTTGATGTTATAGCCCTGATCCTGAGGAGAATAGGTGTGTCTGAGATTAGCTCATTATTAACAAGGTTACAGGCATGAAGAGTTTCTGCTAACTACCCAAGCTCATAAATGCATCCAAATGGATTTTTTTGCGTTTTTATGGGGCCAATCCTCAGATCCCCAGACACATAAAAGGGGGAAAGGGATCCACTAGCCTCAGAGGGACTCCCAGCTCCAGTTCGCCCCACTCTGCAATCCCCACTCTGTCCTCACCCAGGAAGCCATCATGTCTTGCCGTTCCTACCGAGTCAGCTCTGGGTGCCACATGGGCAACTTCAGCTCTTGCTCTGCAGTGAACCCCAAGAACCTGAACCGTTTCCGGGCCAGCTCTGTCTCCTGCAGGAGTGGGCCCAGCTTTGGGGGCCTTGGCAGCTTTGGTAGTCGGAGCGTCATCACTTTTGGATCGTGCTCACCCAGGAGAGCAGCTGTAGGCCCTCGTCCCATCCGCTGTGGAGTTGGCTTTGGTGCTGGCAGGGGGATGGCCTTTGGCTTTGGTGATGGGAGCGGTGCTGGTCTGGGCTTTGGGGCCAGAAGTTGTGTTGGTCTGGGATTTGGAGCTGGCAGTGGCCTTGGCTATGGCTTTGGATACAGAGTTGGAGGAGCTGGAGTTCCAGCAGCCCCATCTATCACAGCAGTGACTGTTAACCAGAGCCTGCTGACCCCCCTCAACCTGGAGATTGATCCCAATACCCAGAGGGTGAAGAAGGATGAGAAGGAGCAAATCAAGACCCTCAACAACAAATTTGCCTCCTTCATTGACAAGGTACCTATGACAGCTCAATCTCGGGGTCTGGGATGGTAAGAGCTAAAATGCACTGGGGTGTCCTCTCCCTTAAGAAGAAAGAACCCAGGCCTGAGGCATCAGCCTTGACCCACATCTTTCAGGCACTGCAATACAATTTCTGGGTCATTCTGTTGCAAAACAAGGACAAACCTGAGGAAATGCTGCATGGTGGGATATACTAAGACAGTGGTTTTGTCTTCTGGAGGAAAGAGGAACACCCAGCCAAATCTGAGGGCATCTGGACAAACTAAGACCTAGCACCTAGTCACTTAGAAATATCTCCCAAACAGGCTAGAAACATTAGGACTTTGGGCAGATGTTGGCTACCTGTTTAAAGGGTTTTAACCTTTGAGATCTTCATGTTCTTTTTGAGATTGTCATAGTCTCTGAGGCTGGGTAGCCACATCTGCTCAGGCTCAAGAAAGTAGAGAATGGAACTGAGTAATTCTTGCACAAAAGAAAGAATGTATACTCCTCATGTGGGGTACCCAGATTCAGCTGAGTTGTCTAGATTGAGGGAAATTGTAGGAAACCACCATGGGAAGTCATGATCTTCAGACTGATGAGAGAAACAGTGATGTGGAACTGACATCCCACAAACCATGTCTCCATGGAGCGGGAGTCCTCTATATCTGAGAATGGAAGCTCACCTCTGTGAGCTTCAGGTTCCTCATCTCTGAAATGAGGGGGCGGAGCAAATGATCCAAGTTCTCCTCCAGCTCAACAATTCTCAGCTGATGGAGCATCTGGGATGGTGGATATGACTTATGACCTGAGAATTCCCACCTCCTAATGCCTTATCCCACCCCAATATACTTTACTCTGCTCCTCATTCCCTGTGAGGGATGGCCAATCCGTTTTTAGATATAGGCAAATCCCAGCTCAAGTAGAATCAAATTTTCCAACTTCCAGTGTACCAGCTTGCACTTTTCTTGGAGGGTAGAGAGGACATGGTACTGAAGTGGTTTGGTTCAATAGCTTCTGTTTGCAGCTGAGCCTGACTGAGCATGAGGAGGGGGTCACAGACGTACTCTTCCAGTGTCTACTGAGTTAGAGGCGGAATGAAAGTCAACAGACAAGAGGACAATGTCAACATGGGGCTGAGAGTCATCTCTGGCCACCTGAAGAACTTGTCGACATGTAGGTGACTCTATCAAGCTCTTCAGGTGCCATTTCTTTGCCCCTGTGGATTTAGGTGCGGTTCCTGGAACAGCAGAATAAGCTCCTAGAGACCAAGTGGAACTTCCTCCAAGAGCAGAAATGTGCCAGGAGCAACCTGGAGCCCCTCTTCGAGAATTATATCACCAACCTGCGGAGGCACCTGGACATAGCAAACAGCGACCGGGCCCGGTTTGAGGCTGAGAGAAACCACATGCAGGATGTCCTTGAGGGTTTCAAAAAGAAGTAAGTGGCATCTAGACTGCATAGACCAAGGACAGGCAGTGTTTGGTTCCCAAAGCAGCTGCCATGTTCAAATAACAGCAGCTGTACAAACCGGGGTTGAATGCTGGTTTCAATACTCACCCTAGTAGGGGCAACGATATGTAAGGGAGGAGGAGGAGGCCCTCTGTGGGTCCTGAATAAAAAGGAGTCTTGGAATTGGGCATGGTTTGTCCCTAGTCTGGTCTGTGGGAATGGACAGTAGACTCCAGAAACAGCCCTCTGGTTTTGAGAATAGTGCTCACGTTCAGCAGTGAGTTGGGTCCTACTTTCTCTATGTTCAAATGCAATGATTCCAAGTCTTTTCTAGCAGAGGAGCATAGCAATGGTCCACATTTTCAGACCCCAAATCTAATTTGAGAAGGTAAAAGGGATTTGGAAAATCTGAGGGCCACAGGCTCATAAAAGGTCCTAAAGATGAGACAAAGTAGATGAGAATATGTAGGTGGCAACAGGGACTCGTGCTCCTAGATGTAGCAGAGGTGTCTTAAGAGGCTCACTGGAGAGTTGGGAGTAATTGCCTGTCAGTTCAGATGAGAACTCACCCTCTCAATCCTTATCATCCAGGTATGAAGAAGAGGTGGGGTTCCGGGCCAACGCTGAGAATGAGTTTGTGGCTCTGAAGAAGGTAAGGGAGAGCAACAGGTCCAAGCAAGCTTCTCCTCCAGACAAGAAAATATTCCCAAGACAAAACCTGCCCCACCCCCCGTACCCCACCTGAAACGGCCCAGGCAGCCCCGTGGAGTCTGGGGCCACTCACACAGAGTGGAACCTCTAAGGTCATAACAGGTCCCCTTTGGAGTTCTGATTTGGCCTCAGATTATTTAGGATTGGGTCTTCACAAGAGCAGAGGTCTGAAGAGATGGCCTTTTAAGAGTCTTAGATTATCCATATGCTCCTTGCCTATAAATATGCATTCAAAAATGTCCAGCAGCCCCCAGGTAGTAGGGAGAAGAACAACAGTCACTAAACTGCATTCCAAGGGCTCTCCCACCTATCCCAAAGCCTGGCCTGGCCCTGTGGGGATTGGCCTGATCTTCCCACCCATCTCCAGACTCTGCCAAGTTTAAACAGTACACAAGTGATGACCATTTTCTCCTTCTCTCTTTTATGCAGGATGTGGATACAGCTTTCTTAAATAAGTCTGATCTAGAAGCCAATGCAGATACCCTAACTCAGGAAATTGACTTTCTGAAAACCCTATATATGGCGGTAAGCATTCATCCCCTCTGAGCCAAACAAAGAGATCTGTGCTTAGCCTGGACTCCTGGGGGGCTTTGTCTGGACTGGCATAATTTCTAACATTTAGTATCGTACATCTTCCTCCTGTTCCAATCTATTATCCTCTAAATGTCAATTTATCTACAAGTGGAGAAAAGAAGGTAAGCAAGCAGGCTTCTCAGCAGGTCTATGAATAAACTCCTTAGATCTACGCTCCAACTCCTCGTTGGCCAACCCAAAGACTGGGGTCTAAGAGCATCCCTTCCTCTCTACCAATCAGAAGACTCTGAAAAACTGATTTGCTAGTAGATGTAAGAAAAACTGTGTTTGACCTAATTGGCTAAATGAACTAGTTATCTTTTGCTTGGTAAGTGGTCTGTTTGGTCTGGTACAGAATCAGCCAGAGCTAATGTCCGGCTCTGAGCAGAAAGGCATCAGAAAGCTCCCTCTGGAGCCCTTACAGGCCAGTTCCAAGCCCCTGGTTCTATTAAGGACTTGAGATACAGGAATTCCTAGACCACCATGTTCTAGAATATTATCAACTCTCGATGATCCATGACCAGCACAGTCACTTTGTGGACAAGCCAAAGAAAAGTTTCAACACTAGCATGGCTCTCACTCTCCTCTGCCAAGTTCCTAGGCCCCATGTATTCACCTAGGTGAATAAGGAGTTAAAGAGGTGTCTTCGAGTATATAACATTTCAAACTGAAATAGTTCTCTGTTCATGTCTTTTTCTTTGTCCTCCCGTTTGGATGGTCAGCTCCATCACTTTGCTCTGAACAAATGAGCAATGCTCTCTGCTCCTGAAGCCACTCCTGGGGCCCCTATGGCAGAGTCCTGGCCCCTGATGGGACTCTGAGCCCAACTGTCTTGCTCATCCTCCAACACAGGAAATCCAGTTGCTGCAGTCACACATCTCAGAGACATCGGTCATCGTGAAGATGGACAACAGCCGGGACCTGAACATTGATGGAATCATCAACGAAATCAAGGCCCAGTATGAAGAGGTCGCCAGGCGCAGTCGGGCTGATGCTGAGGCCTGGTACCAGACCAAGGTGGGAAGGGGAGTGGGGGGCTGAGGAAGGGGTGTAGGCAGCCCTAGCTAGAGTAAGACTCATGTACGACAGAGTGGGCCCAGTGGAAGTCGAAGGCTTCCCAACTCAGTTGGGGCTGTGGTCTGCACTCAAACTTTGGACCCTCATAACATCCCCCTCTCCCTGCACAGTACGAGGAGATGCAGGTGACAGCTGGCCAACACTGTGACAACCTGCGCAACACATGGGATGAGATCAATGAGCTGACCCGCCTGATCCAGAGACTGAAGGCAGAGATTGAGCATGCCAAGGCTCAGGTGGGCAAAGGAGAGGAGAGAAAGCCCCAGAGGGAGGAAGGGGGGCTGTGTTTCTAACCCCACCCGGGGATCCCCTAGTCCCTGCCAAAGCCCACCTGCATGCCCCCTTCCTGCAGCGAGCTAAGATGGAGGCTGCAGTGGCCGAGGCAGAGCAACAGGGCGAGGCGGCCCTCAACGATGCCAAGTGCAAGCTGGCGGATCTGGAGGGCGCCCTGCGGCAGGCCAAGCAGGACATGGCCCGGCAGCTGTGCGAGTACCAGGAGCTGATGAACGTCAAGCTGGCCCTGGACATTGAGATCGCCACCTATAGGCGCCTGCTGGAGGGCGAGGAGATCCGGTGAGAGCTCTCAGTGCAGCTGGAGGGAGGTCAGACTTAGGCATGTAGAATGACTAAATGGGAGAGGGAACCAGGTGAAGAATTGCCAGTTTGAGTGATCTTTAAAGGTAGCAGTATCTTCTCTGCAAATATTAGTCAGGTTGCCCTTGCCAGGGAATTAGAAGATGGTTCCAGCTTTTTGCCTCCAAAACGCAAGTTTCTAGACAGTCTGCACCAGAATCATAGGATGTTTTGCATATTGGTTATCTGTTTAAAAATAATAATAAAACCACATTTCCTCAAATATTTTGATTCAATCGTTTTGGAGCAGAGTCTAGGAACATGTGTTTTCTCAAAGCTCCCGGGATGCTTGTAAGCTAAGGGTAAGAACCACCGGTCCACTCTGCCAAGAAAGCCTTTCTGATAGCAAGCAGCTTTTAAGGGACCAACACGGCTTGTGAACTCACTTATTTCTTTCTCTCCCCAGGATCTGTGAAGGTGTTGGACCAGTAAACATATGTAAGAAACTTAAGTTTTTTCCTCTTCATATTCCTCTCCTGCAGCTCTGCAAATTTCCTTCAAACTCAGGCTCATGTTGGGATTAGGAGCCCATGCTGGGCTGGCCATGAAAGTCAGGAGAGCGAGGACCATCTAGCCCCTGGACTAGGAGCATCCCTTAGCTGAGGTCTGAGATCTCCCCAGAGCCTTCATTCCCTAGAGAAAGCAATCACAAAAGTTTGCAGGGCCAAATAGGGGGGAAAGGGTTCCAGAAGAAAGTCAGCCTTTTTCCTTTGAGTGGTCTTGTCCTTCAGGGACAAAGACCAGAGAAGGAATGAAAAGACCTGTGCCAAGGAGTCGCCCCCACACCCATGGCAGGGGATGGGACAAGGATGAGCAGAAGTCTTCCTGCTGCTACTACCAGGCAAAATATTGTTTGTGCCCAAAGCATGCAGGGGATTATGGTGGGCACTGCAGGGCAGGGGAAGGTAGGCACAAAGAAGGCAAGCCCAGCCCCTGCTCTCTAGAATTAAAATCATCTTGAGATGAGCCCTATCCATTGTCAACCTGTCCCTCAAGCCCTGTGGAGAGGAATAGCATTAGCACTCCCCTTTATGCTCACTTAGAGAAAATATGTGGTTTACCAGAAGTCCCAAAGCTAGTCAGTGGCACAGCCAGAACTCAAACCCAGATTTCTGATCCAAAAGTACAAATCTACACAGATGTATGGTGGAGCTGAGTGCTACATTGGGTGGGTCAGGTAGTCAAAGCTACTCATCCTCAGATGACCTGCCCTCAGAGAGGGGGAGGTAGCAGGGAGTGGCTTTCTGCAAGAGGTCAAGCTTGAGTGGAGGTCACAGATGATGCGAAGGATTCCAGTAAAAAGAGAGGGAAGGAGAGGAGGGCCCCTCTACAGACAGGGCTGGTCTAAGCAAGCTTTAGTGGGATTGGCATCCTGGGATATGGAGGTATGCCCAGTGGATACCAGAGGGCTAAAGAGCAGAGACATCAGTGGGTCAAGAGAGAACTGGCAAGGGACTCCTGTTGGAGGGACAATGTGGGAACCCCCAAGGAGCATGATATAATCAGGAGAGAGAAGCCCCATGGCTTTATGGGAGCTACTGCTCCAGTTGTCTGGATAATCCAGCTCACCGCCCAACCTGACTTCAGCCATATATAAATGACAGTCAACTTATGACTATATGCGACCTGGGGAACTGGCTGAATTCTCCCATTTTAATCTGAATGTTTAACTTTAGTGGAGTCACGGCCTTTGAGTCACCCAGGCAAAAGAAGGGAAAAGTGGGTGTTGTCTGGGTAGGCAATAGGGACCACTTCCCCCGGTGCCACCATCCTGTCCCCTCCTTCCCTGCTCCCAGCAGACAGCATGGAGGTTGGCCCCCAGGCGTGGGCAGCCTGTGTCGCTGACAGTTTCCTCTCCCTCCCGCAGCCGTAAGCAGCTCCCGGGGCGGTATAGTGTGCGGGCCTGAGCCCCTGGTCGCAAGCTCCACCCTCTCCCACAGTGGAGTCACCTTCTCGGGCAGCAGTGGCATCCGGTCCAGTGGCACCTGTGATTCCAGCCTGGGCGGGGCCCAGGTCATCAAGGCCAGCAGGGACCTGCTGAGCGCAGGCTCCCGAGGCAGCTCGGTGCTCATGGGCGAGGCTTGCGCTCCCAGCACCCCCTGCCTGCTGCCCACCGAGGGGGGCTTCAGCAGCTGCAGTGGGGGCCAAAGCAGCCGCAGCTCCAGCGTCCGCTTCATGTCCACCACCACCTCCCATCGGACCAAGTACTGAGAGGCCAGCGCCAGTGAGCCACCAACCCCGGAAGAACCATCTCGATGTCACCTGCTTCTGTCCCACAGGCGTCTGGACTTTAGGCCAGAGGGGGCTCCAGCTACCCCAACTGCCAGGAAGGCAACTCTGCTCTCCCCAGGGATTGATCTGCCTGGCCCCTGTCCTCGGGGGATTTTTTTTCATCACCTAGATGCTCTCTCTGCAGCCCCAGTAGACTGGCTTCTCCCTGACTCCACATTTCCGCTCTTTGGATCACTCTTCACCATTCAGTTGAACAGCCTGAAGAAAGGCACATTCCTTACAGTTACACAAATCAGTGCACTAGGGAGAAAAAGAACAGTCGAAAGCCAAAAAGAAGGTGCTTGGGCACTATTGCCATCCATAGCTTTGGATTAATTTGGAGAATGGAGAGCTGATGTCCACACTGCAGGCGTCTTTAGCCCACTGCCCTTTGCTTCCTTCTTCCTTTCCCTGGCAGGAGAAGGTTCTTTCCTTCTCTTCCTCACCTGAAAGGATCCATAGTCCTTGGTGGCCCAAGGGATCCCTAAGTCCCCTGAGATGGTTCTTCTCCGAGTGGCAAATGTCCTCAATGCTTCTCTTCCTGCGTTGTTGGTTTAATGTGCATGTGGGTGCACGAGGTTGGGGGGTGCCGATGGAGCATGAGCTCTGCTCTGCTGCATGGACCCTGCCCTTGTGGTGGTATGAAGGAGACCTGACCCTGTCCACTGCAGGGGGTTTGTGTCTGCAAGCTCCAGGGAGGTCTGGGAAGGGGGGGTGCCTCTTGGTACTGTTCTTTGCATTGCTGGGTTTTCAATAAACTTGCCAATCTAACATCACTAGGACTCTGGCTTCTCCTTCTGGATCACACTGCTGATGGGAGAGATTGCCTCCTAGACTCCACCAGCCCACCAGCCCAACCCCCCACCCCAGGGACCTGCCAAGGGCAGAGGCTGCTATCCTCGGCACAGGGGAAGCAGAGGGGAAAGAGGGCTCAGGCCCTTCCCTGCAGGAGCTCGCAGCTCAGTGGGGGAGAGGATAAATGCAGCAAAGGCCCTGAGAACAAGTGCCCAGCAGCCCACTCCTCTCCAGGTGTTGCCCTACACCTCCTGACCAACACAGACCCTTGCCCCTGTTCCCCAGGTCCTTCCCCAGCCCCACTTCCTCTGGGACCACTGCAGGATACTCATCCTTCTGCCCTCACACTTGTTTCCATCCAGCTCACTCACTATGATATTGTTAGAAAGGCCTTACATAGAAAACTAATCATGGCTCTCCCCTACTTACAGACCTCAGTGGCTCCCCATTGCCTTCCAGAAGAACCCAAACTTCCTAACATGGCATACAAGCCCTGAGTGATCTGCCCATATATTTCCACCCCATGCCATCCCTCTGTGCACCCTACTCTGGCCTCTCATCTTTTATTCATTCACCCAACAGACACTTGTGAAATGCTTACTTCCTGCCAGGCACGATGCTGGGAAAACAGCAGTGAACAAGACTTGGTCCTTGCCACCCAAGAGCTTACGTCCCAGGCTGACAAATGGACAGGTAGACAAGCAATTACGTCTTGATATGCTCAGTGCTGTGTTAAGAGTGGAATTGATGTTACAATGCACAGAGGAGAGGCCCGACCTAGACTTGAAGCATCATGAAAAGCTTCCTGGAGGACGTCATGTCACAGCAGAGATGTGATGGGTGATGAATTAGCCATACAAAGAAGGAAGAAGTACTCCAATCAGAGGAAACAAGGTGTGCCAAACCAAGAGGTTGCAGAGAGCGTGCCCAGTTTGGGGATCCCGCTGGGGCTGAATATAACATAGCCTGCAAGTGATAGCTCAGGTGGGGGCAGGAGGCAGCCAAGGGGTGCTCGTGACCAGCACCCAGGGTACCGCTCCATCAGGGCACACATCTCACGCAGGGACTGTTTGCTGCTCTGCCTCACCTCGAGAGTCCTCCTCCTAGAGCAAGAAGCACACCTTTCATCTTTATGGATTCTGCCTTGCTCAGTCAGCAACCTGAGAACTTACAGGTTGCTCTGCTCACAGCCTGAGGCCTGCCTGACCCTGGACTCACCAGCCCCCTGCCCTCCTGCTTCCGGGAGCTCCACACTAGCCACCTCATCTGCCATGTGTGAAGTCACACACACCCCTCAGGTGGCGGCAACATCAAGGCAGCCCCCGTCCGGCCTTGGTGCCTCTCCTCAGCCAGACTTACATCTACCCTGTGCTGGTTATCAATCTATTGCCTTAGTTCCAAATTCACCCTTATTGCCTCCCCTGTGAAAACAGATCTGATCCTCTGGATATTTTCCTTTGCTAGCTGGCACGGTGCTAATTAAGCCTCATCAGTAGGCATTTCCAGGGACGATGGAGAGACATCACAGGAGCAGGACTTTCCTTCCACTGAGCTCTCTCAGCAGTTTCTCTGCCGTCAGATTCCTGCAACACAGACAACTTCTATAATATCAGGCCCCCACAATGCTCACAGTAGCACCCAGCAGCCAGGAGCTTCCCAGCACCCCTCTTGGGCAATCTCATAGCAAGTGCCTCCAGCAAACACTTCCTCAGGAAAAGCTTGCCCCAGCACCCTAGAGGGTGGATTTCTGGTAAGCTCTGGATGGGAGATTTCCAGCAAGTTCCACTGGTATGGCACCACAGTGACTTCTCTGGAATCCAGTGAGCAGTGCTGTGCCTTGTCCAGTGAGACTGGGACCTCAGTCATGGCTTTTCCTTGGGGCCATAGAGGTAAGGACTGTCCCTTATATCTGTCACTCTGTACTCTTTACAGTCCTCTGGACTTCTTACTAGTCAATCTTTCAGGACTCCATCCCCAATGTTATCTATATTAAACTTCCCCTGTTCAGTTGCTGTGTTCTATTATCTCCTGACTGGACCTTAACAGACACATGCCACTTGGACAGCAGCGCTTCCAACCTCTAGGGTGAGACAGCAAGCCAATACTGGGACTCCTCACTCCATTCACTGGTTTCTTCTCTTCTCTCTCTGTCTTACCCCATAGGTGATCTCAGCCAATCAGTGTTATGGCTTTAAAAGTCATCCATATGTCGATGACTCCTGAGTTTGTATCTCCAGCCCAGACCTTCCATTAACTACAGGCTGGTATATACAGACACAAATCATTGACATCTCCATCTGTGTAGCTAATGGACATCTCGAACTAAACATGTCCAGAAACAAACTCTTCACCTTCCTTCTTCCCTCTCCATGCTGCTTCTTCCATATTAAGGGCATATCCATTCAGTTGCTTAAGCCAAAAAACACTTTAGAATCATCTTCAAACCCTCTCTCTATCTCATAGCCCCATATTTAATCCATCAGCAATCTTGCCAGCTTTACCTTCAAATAATATCTAGAATCCAACCACCTCTCACCACCTCTGTGACTACCACTGAGGTCCAAACCACCACCACTCTTGCCTGGATTACTGCAATAGCCTCCTATCTGGACCCTCTACTTCTCCTCTCACCCTCCCTCAGCATGTTTCCAAAAAGCAGCCAGGGTGATCCTGTTAAGACTAAGTTGACTCCCAGTTGCATCCATGATGGAGTAAGCCTATTATAGCCTGTCTCTCCCACTGATTACAACTAAACTAAAAACTCTGGATAAAATCCAGCACAACTATTAGAGGACTCTAAAAAGTAAATAAAAGCTGGTAGATCATGGGGGGAAGACAAAGCTTGAAGAAGCTTTGTATTTCTTTTCCCTCTGCTCACATGGCAGGTCCCCATGGTAAGGCTGTGAGCCATCAACATGATCAACTAGAACTCTAATAGAAATCCCATCTTTCTAACCAGAGGAAGGGGGCCCCTGTGGGCAGGAAAATATGGAGGGGGAATCCTCATGTTTTTCTCTTTTCTTTCATGGCTTTGCCCTGAGAGCAGATCCCAGTCATGAAGCTATGCAGCAGCCATGGCATGGCAGCAGAAATTCCAAGACAAACCTGATCTTTCTGGCAGGAGGAGCCAGGAAAAGAGACCCCTTCTACGGGGGAAGGGATGAGAGAGAAAAACTGGATGAGCAGATTCCTCTGTGTGTAAATCCACACATGTACAAGTCCTGGGCTCTCCCTTGAGCTACACATGCATGAGAGACCCAAATATCATGCCAAAGCTTTGAGAACCGAAGTAACATTTAAGTCACTGCCCACATTTCAGACACACCCTAAGTGGATAGACACAGGACAAACACAAATCAGCAAGCAAAGAAGGCTTGAAAATCGCAATTGAACTAAGTTTCCCACAGATGAAGAACTTTCAGTCTGAACCTAATTAGGCAGATTCCCTATTAAACAAACAAAACAAAACAGAAAATTCTTCAGAGGATTTTAGTAGGACCAAGAGTCTACACATCATAATATTTAAAATGTCCAAGATACAATCTAAAATTATTTTGACATCAAGAAACCAGGAAAATGTGACCAATTTTCAAAGGTAAAGAAAATCAACAGATGCTAGTCCCAAGATGATACAGATGTTGGAATTATCACACAAAGATTTTAAATCACTATTATAATGATGTTCCATAAGATAAAGGTAAACACATTTGAAGTGAATTAAAAGGTAGGAATTCTCAGCAGATAACAGAAACTATAAAAACAGAACCAAATAGAAATTTTAGAACTAAAAAAATACTACATTTAAAATTTAAAAGTCATTGATGGGCTCCATAGCAAAAAGGAAAGGACAAAAGAAAGTCAATAACTTGAAGATAGATCAATAGAAATTATCCAATCTGAAGAATAAAGAGAAAAGAAAATATTGAAAAAAAATTTTAAACTAGAGAAAAATGATACATTATGTATAACTAGAGAAAAAATGGCACATTATGTATATGTATACCACAGATTTCTCATCGGAAACTATAAAAGGCTGGGGGCACCTGGGTGGCTCAGTCAGTTAAGCATCTGCCTTCAGCTCAGGTCATGATCTTAGTGTCCTGGGATCAGGCCCTGCACTGGGCTCCCTGCTCAGCAGGGGGCCT